ACAAATTTTTGAACTGCTCAATAATATTGTATTAATAAAATTCTGATGATTGAAATAAAAACAATAGTAAGCTCACTGGAAATAGTTCCTTTTTCTAACCAACTAATCCAAAACTACAGTCAACGCCACCACCAAGTAGATAACTGACACCTAAACAATAAAGACTGAAAGAGAGTTAATATCAACAGTTTAACAAATGACTTGTTCTTTCAGAATACTAAACTTTACCATTAGACCACTATTAAATTCGTTTATACCTGAAAATAGATAAAGAATGAGAAAGCACATATGTTAAAAAAATCCGGTTAAAAGTTATCATGATTCTTTAGGAAACTTGTCGTCCAGATGATAAATTGTTTGACAGACAGATAATTTTTTGAATTATTTATCCTAATAAAAAAGTGCAATTTCAATGACGTTTAGTGCTAATCGTTAAAGGTCACTGGGAAATTGATGTCAAGTAACATACCTCAGCAAACACAATTCAAACTTAGTTGTTTCAATTCACTGAACGCTTATGACTGAACAGCGTGATATGAATTTCTCGTCAATTCATAATTATGTTTTCCAACGGAGTCTTATGATAGATCAACGGTCTCCTAGTAAGCCTAATGGTAACAACTATAAATTTATATAGGAACAACTTCAGTCCATCTATTTTATGGGGATTGTTTCGACTAAAGTGTGGAAACCAAAAAAATTAGCATAACTCTAGAACTACATTTGACCATTCGGTTTACCATAAAATTCAATAATTTGAAAAATTACCTAACAGTCAGATAATGTGCAGGTAGTCCCAAAAACTTCAAAATAAGATACTGTCTACAATCGTACGATAGATTTATGTAGAACAGACATGTTTGTTTATATCACTGACCATGAGAACCAATCTTCTTATCAAAAGATATGATAACTATCGCACTGAACTCGAATGTATTTTTTTAACAATCAAGAGCTATACATTATAGATTCGATACAATTTTCAAATTGACACCACTTGAACTAGCACACTTAACGATACTACTGCTAGGATGATTTGTATTAATTGCGTTGTTTTATTTTTCGAAGCTGTACTAATCTCCATACAAACCAACCTACCTGCCTACCTACCTACCACAATGAATTTAAAAAAAGAAGATTTAATCCATTAATTCCCATAAAATTAAAAAAAACTTATTAAATGTTGGTAAACAATAACCGGTAACGAGATTTTTCGAAAAATAAAATTCAGTTTCTCGTTAACTCAATGAAAACAATACTGAATTGTTGTTTTTTTTTGTGTTTTTTTACAAAAATCTAATGTTGTTGCCTAATTTTATTTAATTCTACGAAAATCTTTATTCATTTCTATGTTGTGCTGTTAATAGTGTCGATACTAGTGGTAATGTACGAAAATTATTTTAGATATACCCTTTTGATAATCACTATAGTTCCAAAAATAACAATAACAATATTACTAATAGCAGCAACAGTAAGTAGTAATGGTTGATGATAGTGATGTACATTTCTTACTTTATGCACGCCCCTAACTCTAATCTACTTCTTGATTTTCTTCTCTGTTTTTATACATAAATGTTTAGTTATTACAGTTAAAATAGGAAGAAAATTATTCATAATCATATATATATATATATATTCACCCTATTAGATTATCACTGGATAAAAAGAATTAAGTGGATGGGTAATCGAAAAACGAGAAAGTGAAGATAGAAAAGTTTTGATAGCTTTTATTACTTATTAACCCATACCAGAGCAAGCAAACAAAACAAACGGATTTTTAATTGAAATAATTAATATAAATAAGATTTTATGGATAAATATGTAATGTAATACTATACTAGTTATGATAAGGAGGTGAATATGTTAACTATTCTATTAATAACCGTCTATCATTAAAGTAATCATGAAAATCTAATGCAACTTCTAAAGATTATTAAACACGCGAATAGAGGAAAAAAAATTAATTCAATCTTGATTTTATACAGTATTTAAAACCTTTTAATCATCAATAACAGATTACTTTAATGGATGAGTACATGGGGATTTTTTTATTGGTTTGTTATATGGAAATCTAGCCTATTCAAATTTGTTTAGAATTAACTTCACATGTAGGTAATCACGTTTGCATTATAATCTTGTTTTTTGAAAAAAAAGAACTAATCCAACCTATATGGCACTTAGAAGAAGTTACATAAAAACTGTTATTTGAAAATATGGTACATTGTTACATAAACCTCAAAAACTGTGCCATTTCAAATAGATTTCCAAACATTTTGTTTGATTATAACATGAAAAATGCAGGTTAAAACGTTAAACTGAATATAATTAACGGTTATAAATTGTTGAGCATGTAGAGGAAAGCAAATAGTAGATGTATATCTCCCAGCATTATCCATTTCCGAGTTATTTTACCATAATTATTAAAATATTTCAGACTTCAACCAGAAAGACTACATCCTACTGCACAGCTCATATTAACAGACAGAGATTTATATGATAGACGTCATCTTTTGTTTTGAAGATCAACGGGAATTTTACTCCCAGTTAGATGAATATTTCACATCAATCTTAGTTGGACTATGCTTTGGTATCCTTCAAAAATTACCCAAGCAACAATAAGTAGTGAAAGTACACCATTACTTTAAAAAATAAATCCTTTTAGTTTAGAAATCTACCCTGATTTGATGGTTAGTCATTCAGTGGTCGCATCATCCCCAAGCACTACCGTGAGAATATATATTATCGATTGACTCTAATTCTTCTCATTTCTGTTGCTCATCACTATACTTTACAGTCATAAAATGATAGGCGAACTTCTACCCAATATGCTGATAATTGTAGGGATATCTGGGTATTATTTCAAATCGAACTTATTTGCTAAAGGAATTTATTCAGTTTTTTATTCAGTACTAGTGTAATGAACAGAACACGAGTGGGGACATGTTAATAAAATCTAACAATCATACAGTAAATGCTTAATTTGCAAAATGTCCATCGATTGTCTCATAATGACTCAGACTTCATTGTTCTTGCATTTTAATACAAATTGCATTCTGCTTCCATTCTTTACTGTTCGATCCTCTAATCTCTCTGCTGCCAGACATTCTGTTCACGACTAACATCACATACTACTTATGTCAATATGATTAGCACACACTACACTAGTACCACTTTATCTTTGAATTCACGTGTGCTTAATCAACACTGATTAATGATACAACTATAATAGATTATCACTTTACTGTATTCATCTTCTTCATAAATAAACTGCATTAGTGCTGCCTGGAGTAAAGGTGGATGGTCAGGCTTAGTATTGGCAACTCCACCTAGTAAAAACAATAATGCTTAAAAATGCTGACCAGAGACAGATAATTAAACCAATCGAACTCTGTCCTGGGAGTTGAATAGACTGTACACGGAAGAATTACCACGCATGGTGGTGAAAGCCAAGATTCTTCCAAAGCTCCTAGGCCAAAAGCTTTTCGAGAGACTTTCTAGATCTAATTCGTCCCCAGATTGTTACAATTTGTTTATCTTGATAAAAAAATGTTAGCCTCTTATTTGTAAATTTGGTTTACAAGTGAACTTGTCTGATTCGTAGTCAGTTGTGATATATTCTAAGCATGATTGTAGTTCAAATTTAACAATAATGAAAATAAGTGTAATCGATTGATCGGAAAACGCGTTTGTCATATGAAACATTGACGTTCCGATGTAACTGGTTAATTAAAGTGTAATAAGGAAATTGTGGTAGACGTGTGAGTAGTTTTGTGTCTAATTTAGAAAATCTGGTGAGGTCATCAGTTCGATGACGATTCTAGCAACTAGGACAACAATAAACAGGGAAATGAGAAGTTCATACAATATGGGAAGCTAGAAGGGTTATCCAAGTAGCTACTAATATAATCACGCTATTCATAGAAACATAACGTAACGAAACAATACTTAGATATCAAGCGACATCGAAGGACAGATTGTGATATTTATACACGGATTCTGTGTGCTAAAAAGTTATATACAGTCCAGTTTTGTATACTGAAATCAATTAGATTTGACGTATAACAATGGGCAGCGCGTTGCTTGGTTCTAAAACATTTTAAATGATTAATGTTTAGTTTGACTATGTCGAAACAGATAAGCAAAGATAATCCAAGTTTTTAAAAAATGGAGCTTATCATTTAACTTGCATTACATTCTTTGAAATACAAAATATAGTTGCTATTATACATAGAGTGTATTATAATATGAATACATGCGTATATTGGTTCTACTAGCTGACAAGATCAGATTACTACATCGACAAATATGAAATTCATGAAAATATAGAAGAGGAGTAACACGTTTCAATAGGAAAAATTACGGTGAGGTTGTTCTGAAAAATTATTCTCTGTTTCTATTTTATCCTCCGTTTTATTTTAACAATTTTCAAGTTGACATTGACCTTAATTTATTGGCCTTTATTGTTAGTATACTCAAATGATCTCTTTGAGCATGGAAACCATAATTAACTTTTTTATGTCAAAATAATCACACAAAAAACAAAGACAGGTGACCAAGATAATGGTGAAATTTCCCATGTGAAAAACTTATCAGAAACGGACAGTCACATACAATTAATTAGAAAAATGTGTAGAAGAAAATGAATAAAATGTGGAAATTGGGCTCGTATAAACAATACACAAAATTTATCTTCTCATAATTAGTGGAAACCCACATACCACCATTTTTATACCAAATTCTTATATGTACTCCTATATATTTATGGACCTTTATTTAACTAGTTAACTGTGCATATGTATGTTCATATAATAGAAAGCGCAGACAAGAAGGGAATAATTTGTGTAAACCAAGCAAGATTTCTTAAAATTAGGCGCCTTAATATGAAGGTGTATAAAGGAAGAATATTCTTTAATATTTTTAAAGATTAGGTGTATTCAGTGAACACGCATACATATAGCATAATGATGAACATTATTGTCACTATCATTACCATAGTCATCATAACGATAAACATTATTATTGTCACCATCATTATTATTGTACTGAAATCAATAATTTTAGGGAATAAAAAGGTAAATGTTACCCGTCTTCACATTTTTGTCATTTCCATTTATGCCACAAGTTTTTTTACCGCTATTATTGAAATTATTATTTTTTATTATTATAACGCAAGTCATAATAAATATTATTATGTATATACGTCTCTTTCGGTCTTCTAGTCTTAGCCCACCAACTTCATTTCGAATTAAAAGTAGATGAGTGAAGAAGAAAAAAGAAAAGAAATACACAAATGATATATCGTGAAAACAATAACGAAAACACATATAATATTGATAACTTATAAAAATGAAAAAAGAATATAATGATAGTAGGTTTCGCCTTGTCATTGGTGTTTTGGACTGTGGTTTTTAATTTCTAATAAATAACTAAAAAAACACTTTGGTATGTTGGGTTGATGAAAAATACGATTAATATTATTACTAATAAAAAGACAGAAAATTCTGACAGGTGAAATGAAAAACAGTGCGAAAATTGTGTGACCATTTTAAAGAGAAAAATTTAAGTTTAAAAATATGAAAGAAAAAAGGAAGTGCAAGAAAAAATGATGAATATGCAACAGTTTAAGAAACCTCCTTATACATGCACACGTTCCTTGCCCGCAAAATCGATAGTTTGGTAGGATCTGCTCATTAGCGGGGAAAAAAATATTGTTTTCTTCATTGTAACAAAATAAGAATAATGTGGATGAAAATTATGCGACATATAAATGTATATCTTTGCCTAGTTTTCTTTTTTGTATTTTTTTGGTGAGAAATTCGTTTTGAAACATTCCTCTATTTTTAGTTTTGTTGTTCATATTTCGTGTGAAAAGTCTCTAAACATAAAAAAAGAATACGAAGTGTGTGTTAAGGTTTAACAGTCTATGTTGAAAGGATATTAAATGACTGATCATTATCATTATCCGAACTATGACAATATGGTTAACGCTTATCACCATAGAAACTTACTATACCTGTTACACTAAAAACAGAAACTGTTTGATTGCATTGTTTATTGAAATGAGTTTGATCCGAAGATTTAATTGGTCATGAACTAACTTTGGTTGAAGAGTCTAAGAAAAAAACCAAGGTGATATTAGTTTACAATACGAATTGATTGAACTTATAAATATGAACCACTGAACTCTAGTTTGATCGTCTAGAGGCATAGTGTATCGGTAAATGTTTCATTACATAGCAAAGTTATGCGTGTAAATGTTAAAGGGTTTCAAACTAGAACAAAATGACTGTCCTATGTTTCCTCTGTTTCTACTATTCTCAATCTCATTTTGGTTTGTGATGAAGACTATCTTGAAATTTGAAAATGGATTTAATTTAATTTTAATAGTATTAATTCAAACAGAAGTTTTGTACATATTACCATAAATCTCTGTTATAATTTATTAAAAGCGATCCTAAGCTACCACTGCAACTTAAAAAATATGATATAGTTCCTTCATAAATACCTAGTGAGATTGTCATTTTTGATGAAAAAACATAAATCGGAACATTTAAGAAATAAAACAAGTGTATTCACATGTTTAACAGTAGTAGCATCTGAGTGTATTAGTTTAACAGTTTCAATGTACAAATACCTTCGAAGAGAAAATCACCAATTTTATCAGACTGATACAACCAGTGATAACCACTTCAAATATGAGTACCATGTCATAAAAGCCTCATCTCATTAAATCTTAAAAGATTTGTGATTTTTATATCAGATTCTAAATGATTCATGAATCAGCTTTGAAGATAATCTCCGGTGTCAAAATCCATTTCCACATAATTCATGAACTTTAAAAAGTTCTCCACAACCACCTCAAAACAAATATTACGTAAGTGACACAAACGATTGACAATTTAGAGTTTACTCTGATACTCAACTCGTGTCATCTGAAGAAGTGAAACACTCAACGACTTTACCTGTGGCTTGAGACAAAGTCCTATATATAATATTTTTACCAACAAAAATATGAGTAGTGCACTAAAACCAATAATCTAAATTACTAACAAACATAACCACAGAAAGCATTGAATGAATTAGAAATGGACATTTCACGAAATAAAAGACCCATAAATACTAGTTGAAAAGTTTAAAATTGAAATTTAGGGGAATAATTCTGATAAGCATCCACCAATTTTTAAATAAATTCACAGAAAAAAAACGAGGAAAATTTCGTTCGTACCGAGGGAAAGCTTACTTGTAACTATTATAAAAATCTACGTTGTAAAACAACACTGATATCTTTTCTAAGAGCTAGAACTCAGTAAATTAAGACTAAATATATACATCAGATCACAAAGCAGCACATAAAACGTCGTGAGACAAAAGTTATTTGGTCTCACTGTCTAATGAAAATTAAAGTTTTATTTTTTAGTGGTATATAATAAATAAACAAGTAAACTTTTATTTCAAAATTCCACACCAAACAGAAGATAGCCTCATTATATTATAAGGATATCTTGAACGGTAATTGATCATTCTCCTGTACAGTGTCATCTGAGACATATATTGAAACGGTTAAGAAGATTTCAGCTTCATTTCAGTAACAGATTATTTTATCCTGATCCTTCATAAACAACAAACCAGTATATCTCCATTTTTCCCCACATTAGCTAAAAGAATTAGATTGAGGGAGTTCAGTGGTTTAGTCCTACCCAAATTGCCTAAACACATCACCTACATCACAAAAGGTAGTTGGATCATTATTCAAATTAGGAATTTTGTTTCGATCAGATTGTTTTTAAGAGATTTAGTAATATGAAAAAAAAACTTTTTTACAGGGAGACGAAACCTGTTGGTGAACGACCAAAATCAGGTTAGTTACAAGACAAATACAGTGATAATGCTGAACTAAACCTGGGAAATTTTAATGACCAGATTCCAACTGTATGACTTGGAGCTAATTTATTGGTAGTCAGACATATAACTACATGTTAAGTTCACACATAATCTCTTAAAAGAAAATCCAATGGAGAAACAGATGACTGTACTATTTGATTCTCCGAAGTCCTCCTGATGATGATATTCAAGACGAGAAGAATCTTTAGAATTAGTATATGCATAACCGGTAGAAATTGAAACAACGCTTAAAAGGAAATAAATTATTACCGACCCAAAGTAACTGCGAAAATGCCAATATGATTCAACGATGACTCAATATTATAACATACTGCAAAGTAGGTATATTCGGAAACCAGCAAAAAGAATGTAGCAAAAGTTAAACAGATAACAAGCCCTTATGCTATCTTCCAAATAAAAGGTTATGAAAAAGAAAAAACAAAAAAGAAGACCGAAATAAAGCAAAATAATTCTCAGCTTTGTATCTCTCCCAATGATTACACTTATGTTAGTATAGTTGAAGGGAATCAACAACATGAAACAAAATGAATGAAACTAATGATCCCAATGAAATAAGAGAATCGAGTGACAAAAACAAATATAAATTTTGAAAGATAAAAATAAAATGTATAACATTGCATTATGAGCAGGAAATGGAAGAAGATACAATGAGTAAATCAGTTCCGTTTCCTTAGACTTTGAAATCTGTAACCCGAATTTGTCAAACATTAATAATCAAATTTGGAAAATGCATCTACTCGGACAGTTTACACCAAAGGTCATTAGTATCATTATCTGATGCTAAATTTTAGCTAAGTAATTAACTATTTTTAACTAATTGGTCAACTGTTACACCAAGATAGAGTAAACCGTTGTTTTAGATGTTCGCGCATCTCCAGACCGATTCGGTTGATAACGGTATATAGATCCTTCAACTAACTGGCCATCTCTGTCTGGCCCTGTGCTTCTGAAATTATAATGGGTCGCCTAATGACCACTTCTCATTTAAGAAATACCTCGAAAATAACCTATAACTGTTCGAATCGAATCAATGTACGTCTTTAACTCTCTGTGACAATGCTTCATAATAAATCAAACCATTGAGCTGAATCTTGGTTCGTTTATATATGTAGGGACACGTCATCTAAGCTACAACAGAAGTATACTAACTATTTAAATGGTGAAGTAAAATGCCACATTTAGGTGCTGACATAAAGTTGGATACTTGTAAGTATCTGTGTACATGAATGTCCGAATCAATTCTGTTAGTCCAAACAACAAACATAGACTTTGTCAATAAAGAACTTTTATTTTAATTAGGTGAGGGACTTTTCATTTTCATTTCATCAACTTTACCACAAATTTGCTAACTTTCGTAATAGTCGGGGTCAGATATCATGATACTTGTGTTGCTAGTGCATAGCCGGTAGCAGAAGAATAACTAAAGACAGAAAGTTCATGCCTTATAAACAACGAAGTAGAATGAAACATTTTTGTTTAAATAAAATAACATTTTAAAATCAAAATGTTAACTAATCAGTATTTATCGCCCGACAACTATTCTGATACACGTTGAGAAATCTATTTAAACATTATATTTCCTTACGATAAAACAACTGATCATTTCCATCACTGTTAATACAAAACATATTTACAAAATTCAATTTACAGTGTGTCTTGTTTTTAATAATTTAAAATGAATATACATTTTTACTAAACCGCGCAACAAATAAAACAAGACAATACGCATAAAAGTTACGACACTTTCAATGTAACCGAAATTAAATCCACTGCCTAAAAAAAATACTTTTGAAAAAAAAGTATAATTATCTTGTTCAAATATGTTGGTGGTTTAAAAATGAATAGGAAATTTAGTCATGTAATAGATACTACTTATAATATTTCGGTGCATTCTTCCATGTTTAGCTAATTATCTTTTATTGACTATTCATATCCTCATTTTTGACTACCATGTATGCGTCGAACTACCTGAAAACCGTAAATCCTATCATATTCTGTTTTAATTCATAAACATTCAAATAAATCAATTACAATTGACTATGGAAATAGCGTTTAACGGTTTCCGGAATATAGATATGCCATAGTTCACTATATTTACTCATCCATTTATGCATACCCACAGATAGCTTATAAATGTCTATCTATAAAACACTTGTATTGTTTTGCTTCGGAATATTGAATGGTGAATGTATTTTGATTTGTATGTTTGTTGGGGTTTTTTTCATTATGTGGATTTATCCTGTTTTATTTATTTATATGTATTACCTTGTTTAACCAATTGTACCTTAAATGAAAAATAGAGTTTTTCTTGTCATCCATCTACAAGCGTTCTCTATCATTGATAATGTAAAAATGAAAACATTTTCGAGTATTTTCGATGTGATTGTACATGTGACAGTATTCGAAATAGTATTCTTACTCATAAAAACAATACTACAGTATTCTCTATTGATAATTAGCATTGAAAGCCTTTTCTGTGACTGCTTTCCAGCTTCTCTATGATGAAAATGTGTAAATGAAACACTGTATCGGCAAATATATTTACATGTATATACATAAATCCATTTATTTGATTGTTTTTAGTAGTATACAACCTTCGACACTCATATCTTCAATCACACAAACGAACATACATATAAATAAATAAACCTAAACATAGACATTAATAAAATGTTGATTCACTAAGACTCAAAATAATAAAATGACCACATTTATGTTCCTCAATTTAATGGATATCATGATTAAGTCTAATATGCTAGTGGTTTGATGCAAATAGTTAATTAATGAAAAAAAAAGTAAATATGATAATTCATTATGTACATGTAACAGTATGCCTGTTTTTAGAAATGATTAAAACAACACTGAATGATGTGATCAATGTTGTTTTAGTTTATTACTTTCAATACTCAGCTGTACTTTGTTACACTTACTTTGTTTAAAGTAGTTGGTTACCAATGTAGTAGTATTAAAAAC